AAAAAATGGAGGGACTAGTGTATTTGGAAAATCTATGATAATCGGAGCTTATATACCCATGCAGTCTTGCATCAAAAACAGCAATAAAGAGCCTTGTGACACCTTAAGGAATAATCTATTTTATTTGGCGTAAGCACTTATTTGGCATCATCTTTTGTTATTGATTTAGATATGTGATATTTATATATATATGTGAGGCATTGAATTTGCCATTTATTCTGTTGTAAACCACTTTGTCCCCCAGGGGTGAGAAAAGTGGTATAGAAACGTAGTTAATAATAATAATAATAATAATAATAATAATCTTTGTAAATATGTCTGATGATGAGAGCTGGAATCCATTTTATGCTGAATAAAACTTAGTAGTCTTTAAGGTGCTACAAGACACTTCATTATTCTCATTTCTTTAAATAGGAGCCCCTGGTGGCGCAGTGAGTTAAACCGCTGTGCCAGCAGGACTGAAGACTGACAGGTCGCAGGTTCGAATCTGGGGAGTGTGTGGATGAGCTCCCTCTATCAGCTCCAGCTCTGCATTGCGGGGACATGAGAGAAGCCTCCCACAAGGATGGTAAAACATCAAAACATCTGGGTGTCCCCTGGGCAACATCCTTGCAGACGGCCAATTCTCTCACACCAGAAGCGACTTGCAGTTTCTCAAGTTGCTCCTGACATGACAAAAAAAAATTAAATATTTCTCCAAAGGTATTATAAATTTGTTAGAAAGGACAAATAGAAACCTGACATAGCTTCTGAATCCATACTCACTACAACGCAGAGTATTGGTATAGCCGAACTTGTGATTTGATGGTACCCCAATGTTGTTTCAGAGTTGGCTATAGTTGTGAATTTTTATGCCAAAAAAACTAACCAAAAATACTCAGAAGTCATCAAAAGTGTTTTTTGTACTTGCAGTGCTGTCTAGTCTATCTTTATTTGATTTTTGTTCTTTAAAGAAAGTTTTGAGGATAGAATTTAACTCGTTTTGGTTCCCAATTGTGTTCCAGATGGTTTTAGAAACATTTTTGAGTGGCTTTTTTTTTGACCCAATGAAAAATTAAAATAGTTATCTGGGAGCTTTGGGAGGTTCAGAAGACACACAAAGAAACCTTACACATGCTGCTACATTCTCCCCATCAGTGAGGTAGTGCAAAAGAGAGAAAATATCCTCCAACATTTGGCCTTGTGGCACATTTGCTATTTGTTGGATGCTGTATGTTTTCCTTGTCACTCCTCCGTGCTTGGAATGGAAACCTAGGTCATTTCTACTGTAACAGTTATCTTTTGGTTGTCATCCTGTTATCTCCTAGGAAAATAGGGCTACTGGCATGCATAAGTTATCAGTGGAAGAAGAGATCGTGGGTTGTTGTAGGTTTTTCGGGGTATATGGCCATATTCTAGAAGCATTCTCTCCTGACTTTTCACCTGCATCTATGGCAAGCATCCTCAAAGGTCTCACAATCTCTGAGGATGCTTGCCATAGATGCAGGCGAAATGTCAGGAGAGAATGCTTCTAGAACATGGCCATATAGCCCAAAAAACCTACAACAACCCAGTCATTCCAGCCATGAAAGCCTTCGACAATACATTGAAGAAAAGATCATTTTCAAACATTATTTCCCTTCCCTCCTGTTTGGCTTGTTTTTCAGCCATGCACCTACATACTCACCACAGCCCTGCCCTTACGTTTCTCGATGCCTGGGTAACATGCCTCATGGGCTGCACAAAGCAGGCATATCATATACACGTGGCAGCTGGGTGTTTCTCAATCAATCTATCAAGATAATCTAACCACATAAGTAGTTTCCCAGGAATACTGGGAATTCAAAGCATTTGGGACCTACGGTAAAATACATTGACTAAGTATATATATACAATCCATTTCCTCCTTAATTTTCTGGAGTCAAATCAGTGCTGAGCCGAAATGGAAGAGCTGGGAACATTCCTACCACTACCATCACTTTCATTAATAATTTATGGGTTTTACAGTTTGGTGTGAAGGTGTGAAGCTGCTCTCAAAGTGGCAAGTATCAAAAAAAGAAGGACACCCTCATTGTCAAGTCCTGCAGGCTTCAGTGTTTATGTTATCTTCAGGTAGATACTAGGAACATTTTACTGAGATACTATGGACGGCAGCCTGCAACCACGATCTTTGTTTTCCCCAATGCCCTTGAAGCCGACCTACTGTGGCACTATATTTGTTGCAGGAGCATTACAGTCATTACAAGCCACTCCATAAATGCTAGGAGGTCACTGCTATAGGAGATGCCGCACCGAAAGGTAATTTGCTTAGTGTTTCTTCCACCTGGAGTCATCCCTGAATTGATAAGCAATTGCTTAGCTGTGAAAAAACATGAATGAAGTTTTGGATGTCTAAAAAAAAATACAAGTTAACTTAAAAAATTAAGAAAATACAATATCCACATTTATACGCATTTCAAGCCAACATCCACCAGGAACGTAAGTAGGACTGCTTTTGCAACCAAAGCTGGCTTTCCACCTCCTCTGCCACCTTCCTCTCACCAACCAGACCTCTATAAAAGCTGTTTTTGGGAAAGTAGAGCTGCAAGGGAGTGACTGTGTTATCGGGGTGAGAAAGTCAAAGGGACAGCACCATTTTACTGGGTATATGATTCCTTGACATTTTCATGAAACCTCTTTTTATAGGAAAGAATATGTCTGCAATTAAGGTTACTCAGGGCCCTTCCACACAGTCCTATATCCCACAATATCAAGGCAGAAAATCCCACATTATTTGAATGTGGACTCAGCTAACCCAGCTGAAACCAGATATTGTGGGATTTTCTGCCTTCATATTTTGGGATACAGGGCTGTGTGGAAGGAGTCTGTTGTTGAAGTACCCCTACCTTAAACCTGAACATGTTTTTCATTGTGTTTGTCTTAATCTTTAAGTAGTACCGCACATAAAGTAATTTTATATTGATACTAGCTGTCCCCTGCCACGTATTGCTGTGGCCCAGTCTGGTGATCTGGAAAACAAAGTAATGAGAAAGTGCTGGTTTCTAAACTATGTAATTTCTTGATGCTTGTGGGAAAACTGTATTTCTTGTTCTTTGTCAGTGTTGATGAGGAGATTGCCTGATATGCCTACTCTGGAACATGCAACATATAATTGTCCTTCTTTAGGGGCCCTTTTCAAATCTATGATACTATATCTGTCCTATACATATGTGTGTGTGTGTGTTAATCATATATATCTATCTATAGCTATGGCTGGATGGCTCTTTGTCAGGAGGGCTTTGATTATGTTTTCTTCCCTGGTGAAGGGAGTTGGACCGGATGGCCTTAAGTCAGCATGTCTCAACCTGGGGGTCAGGACCCCTGGAAGGGGGTAATGAGGGGGTATCAGAAGGGTCGCAAAAGACCACCAGAAAAAATAGTATTTTATGTTGGTCATGAGTGTTCTGTGTGGGACGTTTGCCCCGATTCTATCCTTGGTGGGGTTCAGAATGCTCTTTGATTGTAGGTGAACTATAAATCCCAGTAACTACAACTCCCAAATGTCAAGGTCTATTTCCCCCAAACTCCATCTGTGTTCACATTTGGGCATACTGAGTATTCATGCCAAGTTTGGTCCAGATCCATCATTGTTTGAGTCCACAGTGCTCTCTGGATGTAAGTGAACTACAACTCCAAAAGTCAAGGACAATGCCCACCAAAACCTTCTACTGTTTTCTGTTGGTCATGGGAGTCCTGTGTCCCAAGATTGGTTCAACTTCATCATTGGAGGAGTTCAGAATGCTCTTTGATTGTAGGTTAACTATACATCCCAGTAACTAACTACAACTCCCAAATGACAAAATCAATTTTTTCGAGTGATGGTCACTCATTGGCCTGATAGGTGTCTTGTGTCCAAATTTGGTGTCACTTCATCCAGTGGTTTTTGAGTTATGTTAATCCCACAAACGAACATTACATTTCTATTTATATAGATGCTTGGTTTAGTCTAACAGGAAGAAGTGGAAGATTATGAGAATTTGAGTGTTTGTCACTGAAGCAGAAAATGATGTTGCAACCCAACAGGGCCTTGTTTTACTGAGGCTTACTGAGAACCATGCTCTCCAATCTTCCTCCAATTAACAATTAGAATCATCGAGTTGGAAGAGACCACATGGGCCATTCAGTCCAACCCCGTCATGCAGGAAAAGAACAATTAAAGCACCCTTGACAGATTGCCATCCAGCCTCCGTTTCCCAACAAACCTTCACACCTATTGTTTGGCTAATGTGTGCATGCACATGTGCATAGACTCCTGATTGTTTTGAAGATTTACTATAACTTTCTAACATTTATTTGTTACATATGTACTCATAGCCCCCCCTTTTTTGTTAATCTTTGTAGACCATCTTGAGAACCTTTTGGCTGAATGAAAACACAGAGCTCTGAAATTACTTTTGGCTCTGTATCTGGTATGAATCATGTTCCATCCTACGTATTTGTGCATAAAAACTGACTGTGATAGCTGGATTGGGGAAAAATAATTTTGCTATGATGGGGAGAGGGCACTCAAATGTATTTCCCTTCCCCACTACGACATTCAGAGTAAAGGCAAGAGGAGAGGTTGTTTGCCATCAGCCATGGTCTCCAGTGCCCAACTTGGTTTTTCGATGCGATATTGTATAATAACATCACAGTAATTAAACATGAAAAACACGACCCCCAAATTGAGCATGGCAACACAATCATATCAGAGACATACAGACACAAACATCAGATGGGAGATTATTAGTTTAAGAAGTTTTGCAAGAGGCTTTTCACACCTTCATGAACCCAGTTTTTTTTACTGAAAAATTAGTCCTCACTAGGATTCGGCACAGCACTAGTTTGACTCTTTCTCCATAACATTAGAAGGCTGAAGACTTTCTGAAGCATTTTACCATGTCACCAATTCCATTCATTCTAAGCTAATCACAGTACATGCAAACCAGAGTGTCTCAGAAATAAAAGTGCTTCAATAACTTAAAAAATTGGGAAGGGGGGAATAAAAACTAAATCATTTATTCCTCTTTGTCCATCGTTTTAAGCACAGAATCTTCACCTAAGATTTTGCAAAGTTCATTCAGTCTCTGTTGCATTTTTGGCATTCCTGCAAGCTGGGATTCTAGTCTTTGTTTCTCCTCACTGAGGGTTAAGCGGATAGCAGTGTCCAACTGTTCAAAGCGCCAGCCTCCTTCCCCATCAAACTGTAGCAAGTGAGTGTGGTATTTCCTGCAGGACAAGAAAAGAAACACTGAAAAATCGAAAGATGGAATTGAAACATTCCTATGACCTAATTAGGGAGCAGACTCTCGATCGCACCAAAGCATCATAGAGTGTTTCTCAATTCTGGGTCACAAAATATCACCGGACTATAATTCTTATTATATTATTATTATAATTCTTATAATAAGAATTATAAGAAGAACTATAATAATTATAATATAATAATTATAGTAATTCTTATATAATAATTTAATATAATATAATAACATTCTTATATAATAATTATATAATATAATGTAATAATTGGACTATAATTCTTATTATATTATTATTATGGGAGCCCCCGGTGGCGCAGTAGGTTAAAGCGCTGAGCTGCTGAGCTTGTTGACCAAAAGGTCCCAGGTTAGATTCCGGGGAGTGGCGTGAGCTTCTGCTGTCAGCCCTAGCTTCTGCCAATGTAGCAGTTCGAAAACATGCAAATGTAAGTAGATCAACAGGTACCGCTCCGGCAGGAAGGTAACGGCGCTCCATGCAGTCATGCTGGCCACATGACCTTGGAGGTGTCTATGGACAACGCCGGCTCTTCGGTTTAGAAATGGAGATGAGCACCACACCCCAGAGTCAGACATGACTGGACTTAATGTCAAGGGACAACCTTTAATATAATTCTTACCACCTTTAATCATGCTGGACAGGGATGATGAAGGTGTGATGATAGTACAACTGTATCTGGGGACTTCGCTCGGAAACAATTCTGAAGATAATTTTGGAAAAGGTTTGCTTTTTTACACTACTGAAAGCCTCAGTGGGGGTACACAGGTCCTATGAACACTGAGGCACTCTCATTTTCTATAGCTTTCATCTTTGGAAATACAAGTTTTCTCCCCCCCCCCCAGTGAATAAATCAAATGGTATGCAAATTGGTTTATCAACAGCAAAGGTTCTTTCTTCTTATATAATAAGACAAGAATAGGTATCTTAGAAATTACAGCTCTTTAGGGAAACTGTCCTTCGCGTGGCAGCAACTACACTTATATATGATGTCCTGCATATCCTCTGCCATTCATATGTCTATGTGTAAAAGAGAAAGAGAGCAGGGGGAGAGCAGAGACGAGGGCAATGTATAGACAGCAGGATGTCTCTAAAGACATTCTAGTAATATGACAGGAATAGGAATCTGTGGCCTTTGGTCCAAATATAACCCCTTGGGCTTTTACTGTGGCCCTGGATGCCTCTCCCAGGCAAGTTTTTGGCACTTGTGCAACTTGGGAGACAATATAGTGATCCTTGGAAATCAGATATTGCTCTCTAAACCTAAGAATCATACCTCTCCCCCCCCCCCCCCCCCCCCCCCCCCCCGGGTTGCAATTGAAAGTGCAACCTGCTTTAAGGCATATCCCCATGATTAAACATGTAATGCTACTGTAATCATGAGAACATCCAACAAGAATAATTGATTTAACAATAACTGGTAAACTCTATGTCATGAATCTTATTGCAAGCTTTGCTTAAAACAAAACAAAACAAAAAAAACCTTTAAAAACTCACCAAAGAGATGGTCTGTGTGTTATTGAAAGCAAAGATATCCCTGCTCCCTTTGCTGCCTGGAATATCTTCCCTTCAACATCAATGCTGACAGCACTTGTACATTCATCTAGCAAAGCGTATTTGGGCCTAGTAAAGAAAGAAAAGAAATAACTATTCATTTATCTTTTGGACCAGTTCAGAACTTCTGTTCAGCAGATGCAGGGTCAGGAGGTCCAATTTAGAGATGCAAGAGTGCAATGGCACTCCCAAATTGTGGCTTTCTGACACTGGATCCTGTACTTCTGCACCAGAAGAACTTGTCTCCTGGTAATTGTCTAAGGACACACATTTTGGGGTCTAAGAAAGCTTTCTGAGCTAAAAAGACAAGTGAGACTACTGCAGCCATGTATTAGACCAGGGGTCCTCAAACTAAGGCCCGGGGACCGATTGCGGCCCTCCAAGGTCATTTACCCGGCCCTCGCTCTGCGTCAACCTAGGTATGAAACTACTTGAAAGCACACAATAACAACAATCCTATCTCATCAGCCAAAAGCAGGGCCACACTTTCCATTGAAATACTATTAAGTTTATATTTGTTAAAATTGTTGTTCATTTTAATTATTGTATTGTTTTAAAATGTTTTTTGCACTACAAATAAGATATTTGCAATGTGTATGATTTTTTCAAATTATAATCCGGCCCGCCAACAGTTTGAGGGATCATGACCTGGCCCTCTGTTTAAAAAGTTTGTGGACCCCTGTATTAGACATTCCAGAACATACAAGCATCCACAATGATACCCTGTAGTTGAATCTGAGACTGCACTTAAGACAAATGCAAGATAATCCACCTAGGAAGAAACAATTAAATGCAAAGATACAGAATGGGGGATGCCTGGCTCAACAGCACTATGTGTAAAAAAGATCTTGGAGTCCTCATGGACAGGAAGTTAAACATGAGCCAACAATGTCATGCAGCAGTTTAAAAAGCCAATGAGATTTTGGCCTGTATAAAGAGGAGTGTAGCGTCTACATCCATGGAAGTCATACTACCCCTCTATTCTGCCTTGGTCAGACCACACCTGGAATAGTGTGTCTAATTCTGGGCACCGCAATTGAAGGGAGATGTTGACAAGCTAGAATGTGTCCAGAGGAGGGCGACTAAAATGATCAAAGGTCTGGAGAACAAGATCTATGAGGAGCGGCTTAAAGAGCCGGGCATATTTAGCCTGAAGAAGAGGAAGTTGAGTGGAGACAAGATGGCCATGTACAAATATGTGAGGGGAAGTCATAGAGAGAAGGAGGAGCCCCCGGTGGCGCAGTGGGTTAAACCCCTGTGCCGGCAGGGTTCAAATCCGGGGAGAGGATGAGCTCCCTCTATCAACTCCAGCTCCTCATGCGGGGACATGAGAGAAGCCTCCCACAAGGATGATAAAAACATCCAAATCATCCGGGTGTCCCCTGGGCAACGTCCTTGCAGACGGCCAATTCTCTCACACCAGAAGCAACTTGCAGTTTCTCAAGTTGCTCCTGACACGACCAAAAAAAAAAAAATAGAGAGAAGGGAGCAGGTTTGTTTTCTGCTGCCCTAGAGACTAGGACATAGAACAATGGCTTCAAACTACAGGATAGGCGATTCCATGTGAACATTAGGAAGAACTTCCTTACTGTGAGAGCTGTTCAGAAGCGGAACTCTCTGCCCTGGAGTGTGGTGAAGGCTCCTTCTTTGAAGGCTTTTAAACAGAAGCTGGATGGCCATCTGTCAGGGGTGCTCTGAATGTGATTTTCCTGCTTTTTGGCAGGGGACTTGAATGAATGGCCCACAAGGTCTCTTCCAACTCTATGATTCTATAATTCTATGATGTTGCAAGTTACTGCGAAATGCAATATCAATAGTTGGGTCTCCTGTTAACCAATTTTAACAATTTTTTCATAATGCTTCAATGTGTATAATCAATATGAAGAAAAAGAGTATACCTATATTAGTAATTTCCCTTTAAACTCCTGGCTCCAAGGAGCAGCTGTTGTGGCATTCCCTTAATCCAGAGTGAAGTGAATAATTAGCACTCTGCTTCTTGATTTTCACTCCTGGAAAGTCACTACACTGTTTAAGCAAAAAAATACAGTGGTGTCTGGATGGACCGTTCCTTAAATTCAAACTGAACTCCCAGTGAGAAACATATGCATTTATTATTAGCTTCTGTTATTGTCTTCATTGATAAAACTACTAGGCCTTTCAAATAAATTATTTTGCAGGTATTCTCCATTACATGTACATACTGGAAATGCAGCACTGAAACAGCAGAGGCCTTTGGGTTAAGCATACTCCCCCAATTTACTATTGGTCAGGCCTTTGGCATCCTCATTTATCTTTCTGCACCTTGCCAATGGTCCATGTCCTTCAGCACCAAACAGCTCAGGTGGCTGCCTCACTCTGTGTAATGGTAATGCAAGACTTGTCCATTCTATCCATACTGTTTCATGTAAAAAAAATAATGTCTAGACTTACTTGTGGTAAAACATACGAGCCATGCCCATCCTCTGTTTTTCTCCTCCAGACAGGACGTCTTTCCAATCTGTCACAGCATCCCACCCTTCAAAGCGATATCAGAGAAATAAAACTATTCTTGAAAACTTTATTTTTCCCATGTTAATCTTTTCACCTTTTAAAATATCAAATTAAGTAACAGATGACCATCTTTATATAAAACTACGATAACTAGCACAGTTTTTATGACTTTATATTCTTGATTTTTTTTCTTAAAATAGAAATAAAATTCACCTATGAATATGAAAGTTTAACACTATGCATAAATAACAATTGATATAAAATACAAGTAAAAGTATACATTGTAGACAAATATGTAATACAATGATAGAGGAGCTCAATATGTATTTTTTATACCCTGAACTATTTCAGAAATATAAATATAATACTCTAACATTACTGTGAACATAATTGTTTTATTTTGGTATTTCTCTTTACTGAGAGCCCAAGTGGTATACAGCACAAGAGGGAAAGATTCTAGTTTTTTGGAAATAGCAACCTTCTACCTCCTATACTAGTTCTTTGTTATGTATATAATTCAGATTGCTTACTATAGTGTATATGTGTGTATTGGTATGCAGTTTCCCTTAACTCTATGTTGTTGGAGGGACTGAAGACCATGTGATCAGATCTGAGACTAGTGCAATATGAATGGGTTCCTGAGTTAGATCTGAGACTATTCATTCTGAGACTCCATTTTAGAAGTCAGTGTTGATTAGTATTGTATTGTATAGTCAGTGTTTGTTATGCATTAGACATAATACAGAGAAGAGACTGAAACAGAATGCCTTAGAAAACTTACTGTTTAAACTTTCAATAGATAAGTAATGTATCTGCAGTAGACATGGACAATCCATGGTTCTAAAGTACTTACAAGACTAGAGGGTGCTGGTGCTTTGCTTCTACAGTGTCGCTAAAGTTCTGGTGATAAAAACTTCAGAACTCTTAACAAAATTTTCAAAATTTCGTTATAAATGGTCATTCCAAATTGGTTCTGTCATAAAAATCGCCAATAATGAAATAATAATGAAATTTGAAAGTTTTGTTAGAGTTCTGAAATTTTCACCACTTTTGCAACACTGTAGAACAGTGGTTCTCAACCTGGGGTCCCCAGATGTTTTTGGCCTACAACTCCCAGAAATCCCAGCTAGTTTACCAGCTGTTAGGATTTCTGGGAGTTGAAGGCTAAAAACATCTGGGGACCCCAGGTTGAGAACCACTGCTGTAGAAGCAAAGCACCAGTGCCCTCAAGTTTTGTAAGTACTTTAGAACCATGGATTTCCCATGCCTAATCTGCAGGCTGAATACATGAAGTTTGTAAGTAAACCAACTATGTTTTTTTTAATGAAGGCTGTCTTATTTTTGTCTCTTGAGAGCATGATTTAAAACCAAATATATTTTAGGGTAGATGTTTTTGGCCAACTGAAATAACACTTCTGAAGATCTGCTATATATTGTGTGCACTGACATTTTTTTTGTTCCTAACAGTTCAAAGAGTTAACCAGATATATCAGTCTAATAACTGAGAAACCTAATTTGCCTTGCATGAATACTAGTGGAAATATACCACTAAAGAGAAGATTCACTCAAACAAGTTTTCTCTCTTCTCAGGAAGATCACACTTTACAAAAAGTTTATGATTATTCCAAATGGTTTTAATACCAATTAATCTCCAAAAGATCACACTACCCAAATAGCAGGGCTCTAGGTCACTCTTGCATGACACTCCAGGTACCTATTTTCTGTCTTAAAAGAGACAATATTAGGCTGGATGGACCAAGCATTTCTCCCTCTAGTTTTAGTGCAACTGCATCTGCAAATTCCAAACTGTTCACTTTGGAATTTATTAATCAGTTACAACCAGCCTTTTCTCCAAAGAATTCAAGGTTATACAGATGGCTCTCCTCCTTTCTACTGTAGTTTCTCAACAATCAAATTAGGTTATCAGGCTGACTGGCCCAAAGTGCATTTCATAGCTCTATGGAGAGATCCAACGCACAACAAATTTCTGCCATGCATTATATAATATGCCAATGTGTCTGGAAACTTGAGATGAACATATTGCACAACTCTAGGAAATCAAAGTTCTATAATATTGTGTGTCTTTGTGTGTTTGAATCAGAGAGAGAGAAAGAGAAAGGGAGTATATGCAGTGTTCTCTCTCCAGTGATACAATGGCTTCTACATTTTTTTTTTGAAAAAGAATGACATACCCCCTTCTCTTTGTACTATGTGATTTAAATGAACAATCTGCAGGATACACTCAAGGTTCTGGTCTTGGTACCCTTTTTCATGCATGTCATCTACTGAGTCAGGATAGATAACTTGATCCCGCAGTGTTCCAATGGACATGTAAGGCCTATAAAGCAGAAGACAGACAATTAATTTAATTAATCTTCTCACATGTGGAGCACAAAGCTAATGAATAAAAAAGAACAAAAATATAGCACCACAGATTCATTCCAATATTTTTCCTGACTCAGTCAGAGAATAGCTATTCCCTCCTGAAAATTTTGGACAATGTTATTCTGTAGGAGCAGAGCTATAGCATATAAACAGCTCTTACCTTTGTGTCTGTTCATGCTGGAATCCACCCTGAGTCCCATTGGGGTAAAGTGTTGTTGTTATTGATGTTGTTGCTATTATTGTTATTATTAAGAACCATCAGTACTAGCAAATTACTAAAGCTACCTATGCATTATAAAATTAATTATTTATAGCATACTTGTTTATATACTAACTTATATGTATGGATGCAAGTTTAGAAAAGATCACTGTGTCTTAAATTTAATTGCTTGTCTCTAGAATAACCCTACTGAATCAATCGGCTTTACTCTGTTGACCTACTGTTCATCAATTTATTTGACAGCCAACTCTATTTATTTATTTATGATATTTCTGTCCCGCCTTTCTCAAGCCTGAAGGTAACTCAAGGCAGCTTACAAATTGGCAGCCATTAGATGCCATAACAACCCACAATATACAATTAAAACATTAAAAACATTATAAAATCCATACAAAAACCATTAAAAACATGTAATAATCAATGTCTTCCTGTTAATCTCATTTCCAGTAGTGTCATCTAAGCTGTTCCATGTTTCAATTTTACGTAATTCCATATTTGTCTATTGCACTGCGTTTCTGAAGGCTTGTTCAAAGAGTCAAGTTTTTACTTTTTTTTGGAAGGTCAGGAGGGAGGGGGCCGATCTAATATCCCTAGGGAGGGAGTTCCACAGCCGAGGGGCCACCACTGAGAAGGCCCTGTCTCTCATCCCTGCCAGCCGTGCCTGCGAAGAAGGCGGGATCGAGAGCAGGGCCTTCCCAGATGACCTTAAATTCCTAGATGGTTCAAAGGGAGAGATACGTTCGGACAGGTAAATAGAGGACCGTTCCCTTTAAAGAAGGAAACATGGTCATCTTAACTGTGATTTCTATGATACTTGGATGAAGACACTTAGAGAAATTTAACATTGGTTTATATTACTTTGTTGAAAGTAATATAAATGCAATTTGTTAAAATTGCATATTAGTTTTCATTAAGGAAAACTACAAATGAAGTGTCTAGACTGAAGGAAATAATACTACCCTCAGCCAACAAGAATGATTGACAACTGGAAAATAGAGGGAGAAAATGTGGAGGCCATGACAGATTTTGTATTTCTAGGTGCAAAGATTACTGCAGATGCAGACTGTGGCCAGGAAATCAGAAGACGCTTACTTCTTGGGAGGAGAGCAATGTCAAGTCTCGATAAAATAGTAAAGAGTAGAGACATCAGACTGGCAACAAAGATCCGCCTAGTCAAAGCCATGGTATTCCCTGTAGTTACCTACGGATGTGCGAGCTGGACCTTAGGGAAGGCTGAGCGAAGGAAGATAGATGCTTTTGAACTGTGGTGTTGGAGGAAAGTTCTGAGAGTGCCTTGGACTGCGAGAAGATCCAACCAGTCCATCCTCCAGGAAATAAAGCCCGACTGCTCATTGGAGGGAAGGATATTAGAGGCAAAGATGAAGTACTTCATGAGGAGACAGCAAAGCCTAGAGAAGACAATTATGCTGGGGAAAGTGGAAGGCAAAAGGAAGAGGGGCCGACCAAGGGCAAGATGGATGGATGGCATCCTTGAAAGGACTGGACTGACCTTGAAGGAGCTGGGGGTGGTGACGGCCGACAGGGAGCTCTGGCATGGACTGGTCCATGAGGTCACGAAGAGTCGGAAACGACTCCATGAGGTCACGAAGATTCGGAGACGACTGAACGAATGAACAACAACAACAGCCACAAAACACAAGTTTCTGGAGTATAACAACTACTTTCCAAGTAAACATCACACAATTAAACAGAAAATATCACTTTCAAACCAGGAACAGAATTTTTTCAAATTTTCTTACATAGTGTTATTTGCTGATTTGCTACATATTTGCTCATTCAGATGAATGTTACAGAATTATTTGTATTACTTATTTATGGCCACTGACACATTATACACAGATAGAAGCTTCATGTGAAACAATGAATAGATGGAAACTTTTTTTAACATACAGAGCAGCAAAACTTTGCTTTTAAGGACAAGAGGTCTTACAAAATAAGAAAGTCCTAGCTGCCCACAAGCCTCAAGAGAGATGGAGCCAGACTCTCTCAAATGTGAGAGAGTAGCTTCCTTTGACTGCGCTCATTCGTCTGCTAAAATTAATTCAAGGGTGTTTTAGGGCAAGCTATGGTTTCTACAATTCTCTTAAGATATAAATAATTGATTTGCGCCTAAAATAACTAGTGGTAAGCTTTCCTCTGCTGTATCTAAGAACGTCTTTTAAATATTTCAAGGAGCTCAATTACCAAGTCAGAGTGTAAGTAGCTTACACCCACTAACGTGGTTTACAGGACACAGAGAGCTTCCCAAGAACATATAATTAGAAGTCACTGTCATGGGCAGAACAATTACACAATAAAGAGTGGCCCACGGAAAATCCAACAATTGAGGGGAAATAGGGGGACAAAACAGCAAAGAAAGCAGAAGTCAGGTTAGAGAACAGATTGTGATTTCACAAGCATTCCTAATGGCAAAGGCATCTAAGAATGCAATCCAGAAACTGCCTGCCTCAAGGACTCCAGACTCCCAGGGAGACACAGCAGGGAGGCTGCTGTCAATCTTTACTAAGAGTCAGCATTGTGGAATCTCAAGCAGCTGTCAGGACACTTTCTGCCCTTCCTGACACTTCACATAGGCCTTAGAGAAGGGCCACAGACTCAGCAAAAGGCTAGAAGAAAGCTCTAGTGTTATAGTAAAATGAAAGTCCTGGGAGAAAGGCAGGATCTAAGGAAGGAAGGGAGGGAGGGAAGGAAGGAAGGAGGACACTGTCTGTAGCTCTATGGTAGGACAGATATCTGTCTGGAGCCAGCAATTAAGAATGGCAGTCTAATTCACTGGAGGGGTAGGCAACCCAAGACTCTTGTGGGCCCTGAGCCAGATCTCACAAGGCTTTGGACCATGTTCAAAGCTCTCTACAAATGATTAGTTGGGTCACTGCAAGCTGAAACTGTCAGCTCCCCTGCAGAGAGAGACATGGAGAAAGAGGAAGAAAATAAATTAGTGGGGTAATCTACCTAGGCACTGCTGGCGTCAGAGCTGCCCACTGTTGGTAGATGCCGAAGAGACTGCAGCCCTTAACTGAAACAATAATATCAATAATAATAATAATAATAATAATAATAATAACTTTATTTATATACCGCTCTATCTCCCCGAGGGGGACTCAGGGTGGTTTCCAAGTAACATCACCAAAACATACAGAGTAAACAGCATGACATAAATTAACAAAACAACATAAGCATAAAATTATCACAATAACACATATATATTAAAAATAATCCTGTCTGTTCAGAGCAATTAAAAAGGCCAGGCAGAGGCTAGTGCAAACTCAAAATATTTCCAGGAAAGGCCATCGTTGGCACAAGCATGTCTGAACCAGAGTCCACTTGGGCCTCCAGTGACAGGGATGAATCTAGAGCAGTGGTTCTCAAACTTTTTCAGGTGTGGAGCAAAAAAATTGTTATGAATAACCAAGTAATGTATGTGTGTGTTTGTGTGTGTGTATCTATAGCTATATACTATATATCAGGCATGGCAAACTTTTAGACACAGGGGCCGCATTACGTTTTAAAATTTGACAGACAGGCCAGACCAGTGGCAAATGGCTGGAGAGTGTTCGTGTGAACTAATTGAAAAAAAAAATGAATAAATTCCTATGCACAATGCATATATCTCATTTGTATTGGAAAGGAAGGAAGGAAGGACAATACAATATTTAAAATGAAGAACTATTTTAACCAATATAAACTTAACAGTATTTCAGTGGAAGACCCCAGGGCCATCCAGTCAAACCCCCATGCGGGAAAAGTACAATCAAAGTCCTCCCTCAACAGATGGTCATCCAGCCTTTGTAGTAGTAGTAGTAGTAGTAATAAGGAGGAGGAGGAGGAGGAGGATCTGGGTAGCAAGGGAGCACAGGGAAAAGGGTATGGATAGCATGGGGGTGAAGAGAAAAGAGTCTGGGCAGCAAGCCTCTCCTTAACCCTCTCCTTGCTACCGAAGCGCTGCATCTCTATGAACGTCCATATGGCCTGCAGCCTCTCCACCCTGTCCCTTTAAGCACCTCGCTGCCTTCCCAAGAACATGTGCCTGCCTCCCCCCCCCTCTCTTTCTTTCTTTCTTTCTTTCTTTCTTTCTTTCTTTCTTTCTTTCTTTCTTTCTGCCTCTTCCACATGGCAAGGGAGTGATTTTGGCAGAGGGGGCTTCCAGCCGGGAGTGCTTGGAGGGGAAGGAAGAGAGGAGGAGAAGGGAAATGCGGAGCCCCTCAATTTGCTTCATGGAGCCCTAAGGGCTCCACAGACTACAGTTTGAAAACTGCTGATCTAGAGACACCCCAAAACTACGTGAATATCCGAAGCAGAAAAGAAAACTATCAGAGACTACAATAAGCAAAATTCATAGTTAAACCATAAGGAATCCAGATAAGGATTATCTAGACAAAACTAAATTGGGATTCATTCAGTCAGCACAGAAAAACAACACTGCCTCTTGTTTTTAGCTTATTTGGGCTTAATAATTCAGAGGATACCAATAAAAACAGTAGTATTTATAAATGGCTCTGAAGAAGCATCAAGCAGGTCAGATGATTTGGCTACGGTCTTTTTAGATAATGGCCATACTCTCTCGGGGGAAATTTTCCTGCCTGGCAAATTATGCATGTTATCCACAATTCCATGAAAATGTTTTGAGACGAACAAAGCACTCTAAATGAAGAAGCCCTGTTGAGTTAATGAAGTTTACTGCTAGGTAAAATAGGAATAAAATGCAGTGGCACTGAAAGCAAGTATGATAACATTTTCATTATTACAGAAGAACTTTGTCATACATAAGCCTGGCTAGATTAGAACCAACGTGAAATGTTTCTTAAGCTGTTGCATGGTTTCCAAACATCTTTAAAAGCCCCTCTTTCTTCGAGAGAGAACTGGTGATGTGCTAAATTTAAAATCTAGCTATGAGAAAAGCTAGATTTTCAGCTATGAGAAAAGCTAGATTTTCAAGCTGTATCGTTTAATATAACCATCACCACCCTAAACCCAGTTGTTATATAGAATAGATGCATAAAATCAAGGAAATTTATATAAGTGATTATTTGCAAACTCCTCAATGAGTCAATGGGTCTATTCTGAGACTAAAAATTAGATTTAACAACCACACTACTACCTTCACCACTACCATCACTGTTATTGTCACCACCACTACCACTATTACTAGTACCGGAATTCTGAAATACATTAACTAGAGCTAGGAACAAATATAAGTCTTAAGAGGATGATATATGTTGATAAATTAGCAATAACCTCTGAACATTCCCCCTATTTCTTGTTTTCACTAGGTTTTCTTTTTTCTCCAGCAGCCTAATAAGGTGGGTGTATTGTGAAAATATAAGAAAAAAAATGGACACAACAAGAAAACAAATTACAAACCTTTGTGGAATATAGAACAAATGTTGGGGAGGTGGTTTGTAGAGAACTCCTTCATAGACAGGCCATAAGCCACTGAGAATTCTGAAGAGAGAGCTCTTCCCACAGCCATTGGGCCCAGTGATTAGAAGATGCATCCCTTCCTCAACCTGCAAGTTATGAAAATGATAAACACAAAACCCTTTTAGAAGATTATTCTACCTATTCCTGTCCATCAGCATTCTGATTCACTGACATTCTGATCATTATCAACATTTGTGCTGATGTATCAATAACTCTGAAATGATGGGATAAAGACAGAGGGAAACATGGTTCTCCAGATATTTTAGACTGCAATTTCCACAATCCCTGGATACCATGCTGAGTGATACTAATGGAGATTTAAACCTACACTATCTGGAGAATCAAAGATTTCCAATCCTAATATAAAGATGGCATTCTGCTAATGAGTTATGCATCATCATAAGTTAAAAATATGCCACTGTAACTTACTTGTTCAGTTATTATGGAGGTCAGAATCCTGTTCTGACTATGAAATGGCCAAAATCACCCAAATTCTCATCCTGTAAGCAGTACAGCCCTCCCACAACATAGCTATTTCCATGTTATTGGAGGAGTGGAATAAGTGAAGACACGTGTAGCTATTTTCCTGCAGCTGGATGCACTGCAGAGATATTCCAAGTATGTATTAAAGTCTCTATAGATGTCTGCTGTAGCACATCCAGTTTAGAGTGACACATCCATGCTGATCTTCCCAACTCTATAACAACATGGAAATGGCTGCATTGCAATGGGGGACTACACTGCTTACAAAGTGGATTGGAAGGGTATTGTCAGTACACACAGCTATAGAAATGTAGTTATGTGATAAACATATATTTCTCAATAAAGGATCACAGATAGAGATCAGTAGATAAAAAATATGAATATATGAAACAGTGGCCTACTACCATGAAAACAGGATGCTCCAATATCCCAACCTGATCTTGAAGAAGAATATGTGACTTTCTGGATGCCATTGAACTGTATCTCTCAACTTCTTCCACCACTGGCTATGCTGAATAGGGTCAATGGAAATAGCAGTCCAAAAAAATTCTATCTGTTCTTACACTTTCCATCTTTTCCTCTTTATGTCTGCCCATGAAAATTTAGGAAAACAAATAAAGGGGAAATAATCTATTTCCAAACATATAACCATTCTCTACATACACACAAATCCTTCCACAAAGACAAAAATCATATCCATGACAAATGCACACTAACTTAATTCAACATATTAATTCCAACTGTTGACTCAGGCAGATGAAAACAACTAAAGCTTTGCCTATCATCATTATCAAGAGAAAGTTACAAATATGCAGGTTCTCTGGGTCACAACATCATCACTTTATTCTTTTTACTAGAATGTGCAAAATGAATATTCACACATGTAATGCCATCAATGATAGCCTGTTTAAGGGGCCAAAATCTCTTAACTTTATTTACAATGCAGACAAAACACAATTTTTCCTCAGGCAATTTGAGCACCATAAGACTCGATCAATAACATTCAAAGTATTTTTTCCCTATGGCATGTTTTATTTTGCTTTCACTATGCAGCAGATCTTAATGAATCCCACTGAGCGAATCTGCTTCCATGGTAGCAATTTTTCTTGAGCAACATTGATGTATGTTTACAGTATGTTCAGCAGTATAAATTTCAAAGAAGACAAGTTAGAATGTAAAGGTATATATCAAGGATATCTTCCCTTTATAGAACAGACTTTCATCAATGATAATGATGAAAAACCCATCTATAGTATCTGTGGAAGATGAGGTGCCTGGTAAGGTTAAAACACGGACAAGAATATGATGCTGCAGCTTGTGTGTGTGTGTGTGTGTGGGGGGGGGGGGTTGAAGAGTAATAAACTTGTAGGTACACCACTTCTTTGCTTCAAAGAATCTTCCCAAGATCACTTAACAACAATGCCTGAATTTGGATTTGTGAACATGGTGATAAAACATGAATCACAAGTGCTTTGTGGTTATCCTTTTTCAATATAAACAAGGTATCTCTTAATGTTAGGTGAACTGTTTAAATGCTATTTACAAAGTTTACATTATTGACACTGACCTATGTGCTAAAATCACTTTGATTTTTAAATGTGTTAAATTAGTTATGATTATTATATTATCACTGTCAACTAGTTACTGCAATGATTGTGAACCACTCTGAGGTCAGTGCAATGCAGAAAATATATTACACAAAATACGACTAAGTATATTTCAGAAAGGAAAACACGTGGGCTTACAATCCACTGTAATATAAATAACCAAGCAATCACTTCTTGCTTAGACTTAGTGTGTATACACTCACCAATATATCTTTTCACAATACCTCTGCAGTAATGCTAAAAAACACAACTCCGAGGGCCTCATCCCAAGTCATTAGAAGCCATACAGCTCCCACTCCTACTATATCAGAGGAAATCCCAATCTCCATTACCATCACCACCCTCACAATCTACCTGGCCAGATACTTCTAGCAAGACACTGAGGCTTAGATGTTCCATACATTAGTACAGGATCATGCCAAAGGGATTTTTCCAATTCTAGGCACTCAATAGCCCAAACCCAAGGAATCAGGAGTCTTCACTAAATTTAGACAGAAATATATTATTGGTCTTTCCAAAGACTAGAGAAAAGAAGATAGGAATTAGCTTATGAAATGCTTTTCCTAGCATTAATTTAAAAATTAGAATACTTGTAGATCTCTTCAGGTAAATTATGAATGCCAAATTCAGATCAGAAGTAATTTTGTAGGAAAAAGAATATGATGCTTGCTGTATATGTATGTGTATGAGACTTGGCTTAACTAAGGAGTTAACAAAATTTAACTAAAGTTTGATTTTTAAAAGCCTCTTTCCATCTCCTACATAGCCTGTAACTGTACAACACGCACAACTGCTATGCTTCTTAGACAAAAACATTGATCATGCACTTTTGACTTTGACAGAAACTGGTTCAAGTTACTGATATACAATCCTTGTTCAGTGCCTGTGAAATTTTCAGGGAAGGAATTACCTGCCTCTTTAGGGGGTTTGTGCTTTTAATAGCTCAGAACCAATAGGGACTTCATATATTATGCTTTGCCAGTGTGCTTCTAGGAGCTAGCCAGCTCCAGTTCCAGAAAAATAAAGGGAGAGGGGGATAGGAAGTCAGGTTCCTGTTGAAGTATTAATGAAAATGGTTCACTTAGACCGGTGATGGTGAAGCTATAACACCCGTGTCAGCACTGACACACATGGCTATTTTTGATGACACGCGGCCACATGCGGCCGCATACAGAGAAGTACACCTTATAAGAGCCAATCTCATTCCATCCTTAAATTTGTAAAAGGCTCTACAAATTTAACATCTGCATGTTTGACCATTGTTCACTCCATAACTCAACATGGAATATACATTTTTCTTATTTAAACTACAAATATTGCAAAATAATGGGCTTTTTTTCTCAAAGTTGACACCCCACTCAAGTTATGCTCAGGTTTTTGGCAAATTTTGACACACCAAGCTCAAAAGGTTACCCATCACTGACTTAGACAGAGGTGTCAAACCTGTAACCCCCCAGTGTTTGGGCCTCCAATTCCCAAAAGCTTTAGTCAGCTTGCCCAATGGCCAGGAATTCTGGGAGCTAAAGTCCAAAACGCCTGGAGGGCCACAAGTTTGACACCACTAAGCATATCATCCTGAATCCCGATACTATCAGGAAGTGTTACTACATTCTCTGATGTCCTCCAAACCGTGGAAGGCTTCAGAATTGCGGACCTATGTTTTCCCTATAACCCTCAACAGCATTTCATTTGCTCACTGCTGGTCTAGGGGAAGAAAGAAAAAAAAGCAGTGCACTGAATAAAATTAACTAAGGGAGTTAAGTGATAAAGCAAAGACTACAAGAGATTTATAGGTCAGTAGAAAGCATAAACATGGCTATCTATTTCACGTCTGCCACTAGTCCAGATAGATAGGACAGATGAAATCAAATACAAATTAGTTAATTAAAACTAGAATGATTTACTAAAAAGCAGAAGATACTGCTAACATTTCTAATCCTCCACTATACATAGGTGTTTGGGAGGAAAGAAGCATTGGAAACTGAGGTCTTTATCCAGCATTTTAAAACTAGTTCTCATTTTGTGTCTTTCTAAATATTGTACACATAGGAAAATAGTAAATGGCCATTCTTTTCAACTTACATACTGTACTAGTATATACAGTACATTAGTGCAATATTCTTTTTTTAGTCCAAACAGAGTTTAGCGTGTCTCTTCACATAATAGATAACTTCAGTCATGTGGAGAGTCTCCAAATATTCTCAGCTTCAAATTGTTACTCTTCAAATGAGAGCAATGGTGGGGGAGCCTAACACATCCTCCTCCTTACATTTTTGTGAATGCCTAAATATGGCTACAGGAAGCAAAGTTAACGTATAATTATGGCTTTGTCAAAGCACAATAACATAACAGAAGGTTGACCATAGAAAACTTTTAACATTCCAGTAATTTTAATTTAGAAATGGAATCAGAAGAGAACCAGGTCATTGTCCCTGCTTAACTCACTTCTCATATTTCAGTCAAATCAGGCCATCTCACACAATGTACAAAGTTCTGCTCAACTCAACATATTAACTGAATACACAGACCTGACCCTGGCTCTTATCTTGTTTTTCATTAAGTAGGAAAAACTGGATGCATTTTCTTCTATCACTGACAAACTATGAGTATTTTGTTTAATTTCCCCTCTTTTTTATATGATTGTCCAAGTACTTAAGGTACGTAAGATATATGAGTTTTGTGGATTTTCTGTACGAATTATGATGGCAACATTCAAATTGCATATTATCTTACTTTGAAGTTTAGCCTGGAAACCACCACATCTCCATTTGGGGTAATAATAGGAACATTTTCACAGATAATTCCATGATCAACATCTATCACTCTTCCTACAAGTAAAGAAAAAACACAAACAAACCACAATGACACTTGTTAGTAGAGCATACACACAAGAGCATACACGCAAAACACATAGAGAAAAGCATGTTTGTGGTCTTAAGAGAACAAAATATCTATCCATCATTTATAAGAATTGCCACTTGAGGTGATGATTAGACAATGTGAAAAAAATAAATATTTATTTTCTGAATTCTATGGATATGCTGATCTCTGTCATTTATCAACAGTATACCATACCTAACAAAAAAACTTCAAATGTGTTTAAAGTTAATACTTTTAAGTTTTTTTCTGACAACTGTAAGTAAAAACTGTAATGCATATTCATCAAGATCACACTGTGATGGTGGTTCTCTGAATCTGAAATTCCTTTTCTCAAGTAGTAAATTATGTTTACTAACATTTGGCACCATTCCTCACCTTGAGAATTTAAGAGCAGTTAGATACTGCTGCATATGGCTAAATCTACCGTCAATCATTTGTTCTCTTTGCTAGACTTAGCTCCTTTAGAATTTATTGGTCAAAATGTGATTGAGACAACTGTATTTCTGTGACAGGAGGTGGTAAAAACACTATGTAATAGTATTAATAGTTATTGGAAACTAAATGTATAGTGACACTGATCCCATGGCATCCATTTAAAACATGTAATATAGCATAAATGTAAACATTTCAGGTGCCTGTTATCTCTAGTAAGGCACAGCAACTGTTCTCTGATCCTTCCCTCATCTTCAACAATTTCAGGATCACAACAATGATCACTTTTTACCAGATGATTGGCAAAGTCATCCTCCATAGGTAATGATAAGTGGTGGTTTTCATGTCAGTAGAATGATAACTCTGTTCTGAGTTTTAGTCTGAAGTGTAAAGGAGCTATTCAAGGTGATAAACCTATTTTGGGGGTGGGGCACAAAGCCTTCAAAGTTCAGATTGAAACCCAGAGGAGAGTAATCACTCCACTGGCATGGAAGACATAAACTGTGGTTGTCCATATTGTGTCATTTGCATCTTACAGTAAATTCTCTAGCACCTACTATATCGTAGATGGCTATGTGAATCTACCGAAACAATTTCCTTCCTTCAGAATGACTCATTGGTTTCACCTTCACTTAGTATTAGAGATAATGAATGGTATTAGGGATGATTAAACAGCATGAAATCATGCTGCATGGTTATTTCTTGTAAGTCCCAGTAGGTGGTGCATGAACCCACCTTCCTTAGTGAAGAGGCTTTAGCTAGAAGGCACACTAGTATCCCCAGCTGGCAAAATGTGCTCTTTTCTCACATTTTTTGGATTTGAACATCACTGATGTAACCAATACTAAAACCTCTACAGTTGTTGTCTGTGAATTTGAAGTACAACACTTGGAAAAGCTGCTTTTTTTGGAGTGCACTTCCCATAGTCTCCCAGATGTCCTTCTTGATAACAAGAGTGTTCCAGTGGACTAAATCCATTACATTGAGACTACTTGTGTAATGTGAGTTTCTATAATCTTTGCTTCTTGTGTAGTTTCCTTCCCCATGCCCTCCATATGTGCTCTAGGAAATCCCCAATTCTCTGGAGTAGATCTGAGGCATACAACGAAGGAGGTTGCAAAAAGAAGGAATATTCATTTTCTCAGAGGTGTACATTACCTGCTGATGGGGCAACATCACTAGTAGAACAGTCTGAATTTATGAAATGAATTCATAAGATCCAATGAGCCAATAAAAAGGAACGTGAAACAAGTGCTCTCAGTATAAACAATTTCTTCATCCTGACAATGTACCTTCAAGCAAATGCTTTTATATAATCCAGATGGTATATATATAAGGGACAACTAAAACAACACTATCACATTATAACTACATGTTGATTATGTTTGCTGAATGGCTTTCTTTCACCCTCTTTTATACCACTAAAACAGGGCTGGGAATTGAACGACTCTTCAGCTACTGCTGAACTGCAAGTTCCAGCATCCGTAATTGTTGACTGTGGTAGCAAGGGTTTCAGATCTACAACATCTAGAATTGGGTTGCTGTGAGTTTTCTGGGCTGTATGGCCATGTTCCAGAAGCATTCTCTCCTGACATTTCACCCACATCATTAAATGCTAATCAAGGTGGCCAATTGAATTATTCACACTTGCCTCAAGCAGACAAGAGTTCTTTCTCCCACCCTAGACATTCCACAGATATATAAACCTTACTTGCCTAGCTTCCAACAGACCTCACAAGTTCTGAGGATGCCTGTCATAGATGTGGATGAAATGAGAGAATGCTTCTGAAACATGGCCATACAGTCCAGAAAACTCAGAGCAAATCAATGATTCCTGCCATGAAAGGCTTCGACAAAACATCTAGAATGCCAACCCTGCACTAAAATTACAAATTACATAGTGATAAGCTAAATATATGACCTATGATACATATTAATTTATTGATTTCCAAGAAAAAATAATATGGAATAAACAGCAACAGAAAATACAATTAAAAAATAGTATGAGACATTCTCATTTATGGCAATCTGTAATCCCGCAGTCATGTAGGATTTATCCAAACTCTTAGTGCTGAGAGTGCAAGGACGCCACTAATGTCCGTAACACTTGCTCTCCCAAAGGTACTTGTGCTGCTAATTTTTGTCTAATAAAGATGAACATTATTCCATCCTGCTATTGTATGAATGTCTTCTAAAGGTACCAAGTACACATACTGTAGAAGGAACAATATATCACCAAATATATCACCAAAATTTTTTACAAGATTTTAAAGTTCAAGGACTGAATGATATAATCAAGGCTTCAATGCATGTCAAATTTTGCATTCATTCCAATAAATTTTAATAATGCTATGCACATCTAAAATATGCCATTTCTTTTCAGGTGAGTAAAATACCTTTATACAGAAAGCTAGTAGATGAAAACCCTGAACATAATTGGAGGTGAACAAACTGATAGAAATGTTGGATCTAAAGTCCAAGTTTTTTTTCTCAGAAAAATTAATACATATTCTCATCAACAACAAAAATGAACGTACAGATCCATCACTGATGTCTGATCTTCTCATGTCACAATGGTCACCAGAGCTGCCACTTTTCTTTTACTATGTATGTTTGAAGATTTTTCTGTAAATCTGCTTACAAAAAAGCTAACATGTCCCTTAACTTTCACCTCTTCAAACACCACACTATGAAACTGACTTAAAGATTTAAACCTATTCCATATGATGTCACACATCTTTTGTATAGTTTATTAACATAAAACTAAAATGGACATTTCTACAGATAAGTATTAATTTTAACTTTAATTTTCTCTATTCAATTCCTACATGGTTAATTTCAACCAAATTAGGTTTGGATAATGGATTTACCACATCTGTCAGTCTTTGCGTATCGATCTCATTTCCAAAGAATGTTATGTAGGTATTCTTTTTGTTATCTGCCATTAAGTTGTTTCTGACTCATGGTGACCCTCTTATGATGTTTTTCATGGTAAAATTTGTTGGGGGTGTTGCTATTGCCTCCCTCTGAGACTGAGAGTATGATTTACCCAACGTCACTCAATGGGTTTCCAAAGCTGATATCAGAGTAGGCAGAACATGCATCCTTCCTGAAATCATGTGGCTGCTTCCTGCAGAATTCTGGGGCTTGTAGTATAGGGAAGGGGGCTTTAAAATGCTCAACTAGAGACTTCATGGGTCTCACTAAACAACAAGCCCCAGAATTCTGCAAGAGGCAGCCAAATGACTTCAGATGGGGTGCCTACTCTTTAAGCTCTAGTATAAGGCACCAGATCTGAGAGGAGATTTGAACCCTAGTCTCCCAAAGTCCAACACTTAAACTACAATGCCACATTGGCTCTCTATGGTTTTGAAACACATACCCATGAAGAATGATAAACACAAGTATTCTGTAGATATGTTTGGCCAAAATTTTTTGATATACCGTATATACTCGAGTATAAGCCCAGCCGAATATAAGCCGAGGCACCTAATTTTACCACAAAAAACTGGGAAAATGGATTGACTCGAATATAAGCCAAGGGTGGGAAATGCAGCAGCTACTGGTAAATTTCAAAATAAAAATAGATACCAATAAAATTATATTAATTGAGGCATCAATAGGTTAAATGTTTTTGAATATTTACATAAAACTGTAATTCAAGGTAAGACTGTCCAACTTTGATTAAACCATTATTCTAACCTTCTTCAATGTAAATATACTTACATGTCCTCCAATAATAATGAGTAAAATAATAATAATAATAATAATAGAGTAAAATAATGGAATGTAATAACAACACAGTAAAATAATAAATGTAATAATAACAACAATAATAAAATAATAAATATAATAATAAATATAATAACAACAACAAAATAAAATAATAAATAACATTGACTCGAGTATAAGCCGGGGGAGACTTTTTCAGCCTAAAAAAAAGGACTGAAAAACTAGACTTATACTCGAGTATATACAGTACTTTAAGTATAGGAAAACTAAGGCTCCAACTGCTGAGGCAAGGTTAAAAGGAAGTACCTTTAATTGGTAATGCACCTCTAAGAACTAAAAAAAACAAAAAAACCCTTCCCAAACCTTCTGAAGTTATGTAACATTAGAACATGTAGCTATGGCTGGATCCAGACAGACATTAAAAAAATGTGGATGTTTCTGGGAGCCTGTCCACACCCACCACAGAAAGCACATGCTTTCTGGGATGGGTGTCCACTAGCCCCTCCCCCCCCCCCCCCCCCCCCCCCCCCCGCTCTCCTAGTGCGTCATTTCTACGTGCTGGGAGAGCCGGCCAAGGCTTCTAATGGAGGGCATGTAAGTTTTTATTAGTTTTCTAAAAGGTTTTAGGGCTTGAGGGGAGGGGGTTGGGTATTCCCACAGTTTACCAAGCGATTCGATGGACGAGATCGTTTTATTGTTTTAATGATTGTTTTATTTCTCATGGATGTATTTTTTAATTTAATTTATGTCTAATTGTAATGTATAATTGTAATTGTTTGTACTGGCATTAAATTTTTGCCATTACTTATGTGTAAACTGTTTTGAGTCCCCCTCGGGGTGAGAAAAGCGGTATACAAATACTGTAAATAATAAATAAATAAAAATAAATTATTTAGCTCGGTAAACTGTGGGAATACTATCTGGACTGCAGTTTTCTGCAGTCCAGTCCCGGAAATTGTGGATTTATCCCGTGCCTTCCAAGAAGGAGCAGAATAAATCCACTATCAAATTAATTCACAACAAACCAGGTTTTTCCTGGTTTGTAGCGAATTAATTAGGGACTGTCCAGAATTTTGTCTACACAGCCCCTCCTTTACTGCGGGAGTTCCCAAAATAAAGGTCCTGTCTGGACGGGTCCTATGTCTCTAGCAGGTCTATCAATGCAAAAGAATAATCTGGAGATGGTGGAATGCTCTATGCCATGCACAAAATCAGAAAATGTCCTGTATATCTCTAATTTAGACCATGACAGAATCAGATCTAAAGCAACCCTACCTATCCCAATTAATTTGTTCCTTCACACGTGTTTTTTACTAATTGCAGAAATTGCAACATGTCTCTTTTTTACTTTTATTCTAACACACATATATTTGAAATCTCTATTTCTGAAGAGTAATGGTTTAATCATACTCAGCTATTGTGTTGCTTTTTAGCTAGTCTTTTAACGATAGTTAAAAATATTTTAAAAGGCCATCTAACTATGCTCACTTGAAAGCAGCATTTCAAAATACATTTGCAGCTACTATGCTATTATGCCCTCATTAATCCCAAAAGTAGCACATTATATATAGCACTATTACTTGCAATCAATTATTTCCAAGGTCTGAGTAGGAAATGCAATCTGAGATTTCAAGAGGGTATTAAGGATGTTTTCATACATATTGCTATGAATATATGATTCAGACTATATAGTTATAGCATTATGGAATCCTTGAGTTTGTATTCTGTGAGGCACTAGATGCCCCAAATAGTTAATCTCGAGATTCCATAAGACATCATCACAGCAGTTACAGTAGAATCATAATGCTGTAGTGCAAAAGAACCCCAGTTTGGGAAAGATGTAAGCAAGGAAAATCTTAATAGTATTTCTTGACTTTTGTTGGATGGAACACAAACAATGGGTGCTGGAAATGTTATGATTTATTTAAGAAATTAAATGTAAAATAGAAATATGGTAAGAAGGCAGTGATAAGGATGTCTACAGAGAGTGATCATGAAAGTCAAAGCATGAAGACAAATGGAGGCAGGAAGAGGTAAGGGGAAATATTAGATAACAAAACACATTTACAAATTTATCACATGTGAATGTACTACTTTCAGATAGCTGGTGATGGAATGAGAGTTTGTATGCTTTTCCATGTTCTGCCTATCTATCTATCTCCAGCATTTAAAGGTGAAAACTAAAGATGTCACTGCATAACATGCAAACATTCCAGCGGTAGGAAACTATTGATGTAGTGGAAGGTTCAATATGTTGCCTCCCAGCTACAAAATTATACAGCCACAGGAACTATATTGCACCTGAACATGGAGAAAAGCCCATGGTACCTAAAACACAGAACTGGAGGGGAACAACTTTCACTCTCAACAATGCTTATTTGGCCCCCTTTAAACAAAAAATGGCAATGAAATTTAAACAGTTGTTTCACTTTTTCCATTTTCTAATCAATATTTAAATTGCACATTGACATGAGCTGCTAAAGAATTCCTTTAGAAAAAAATAGTATATATTACCTTTGATTTCTAAGGGACCATCAATATGTCTTCCTGTTTTTACATTCTTCTTGTTGTTGCTATCACATTCTTGAAAAACAGCTGATCTTTTGTAAATGCCTCTCTTCACTTCATCAAAAACTGAAAACATGTTGTACACACGAGCTGTGTAGCCTGCTAACTCTGTGACCTGCAAGACACAAATGATGCCATATTACTGTAAAACAAACTGTTATTGTAGCAAAAATTTATTTCATTGTATCAAAAATTGCATGAATTTTGCATTTTACTCTCAAGAAATGGCATACTGAAATCATGTGTATCTTAGTATTTCTTCCTCAAGAAAAAAACAAAACGATGAAGTATGTATGCGTTCTCAGTCACTGTAGGGCCAGAAACTATGGCAGATCCAGGGGTCAATTTTTCTGACCTTGGGATTAACTAGGGGCCACACAGACTGTCAAAATGCTGTAGCATAAAAAACAAGACCAGAAAAAAACATAATATCCATTCTTGGATTTGGAAAACTTTTCTCCACATGTTAAATAATGTAAGAGGCCTACAACCTATTTAAAAAGTGAACTGCCATTTCTGGAAGCCATTTGTTTTTTGGCCAGAACAAGAGGAATCTGGAGGGACAGAAGACCATAAAATTGCATTGAGGCTGCATGCAGCCCCATGTCATCATTCAGAGTTAATTGGACTAAAAAAACCAGTAAACATTTTTAGTGTTTTGAAATGGGACATATGAGGAGCATACAACTAACTGCAAAATATGTAGACTTGCTGGCCAACAAATGTGGCAAGCTCATTTACATTTATGATGGCTCAATGCCATCAAATCCAATTTAATTAGGCTGGCCATAAGTGAATTGTGGGTTGTATTATCAATCTAGCTTGAATGAGCACAGATATATGTCATGCCACTGCACAAAACACTGCTAATCTTCAAAAGGGATAAAGCTGCCCTAGATGACCTCAAAAGTACTTGTCTCCTTGCTTTCATTTTCTATGTCAACCTCTAAAAGGCAAGCAGGGTCATTTGCTTAGGATCAAATGCTGTCTATTCAAAGGAATACTAGATGAAATGCAGTTTTACCACATGCCTGCCACAAAACGAACATTTTGCCCTACAGTGCTTTAAAGATGCACTTAACACTATTTTTAAAAGCCTTCATCCACTTGGGACAAGTGAATTTTGATTTCCATCTTTCTACTGCCATGATAGGCAGTTACAGGACACATTTGCTTCTTCCATCATGGATATCTTTGCTACATTTGCAGCAAAGAGAGAATGCTGAATTGGTTGGAAAGTGGACTTAGTCTTTTGTGGCCTCTTGATTAGATTGCTCTCAATTATTCATGTCTCGTAGAAGTTCAGCTTACTTCATCTAACTCATACGTGCCTACGCATCTTAGGCCAAAATATGGGTTTTCATAAGCTTTTCCTTCCTACCTACCAACCCTCTCAAATGTGACACCAATTTCAGAACAGAAATATCCAGTAAGCCAGTGATAACCAACTGAAAGATTATGCTATGTATTGAGCATTTAGGGGAGGAAACGACAAAAATGTAACTGTGTTAAAAAAGATACGATTTCCCCATGTCATGCTCAACTCATTTCCTTATCTCTCATCTGGCAGCTTTAAAGACCACACCTAGGAGTATCGTAATACCTGTGGCATCAGCTATAATGTCTCACTGGTTCAGCCTCTCTTAAGAAATGCCACACAAATTTAAAAGAAAAGAACACGGGGAAGGGGAGTGGGAGGATGGGAAGTTTGCTATCAAGAGTTGATGACATCATTCCCAAACTTGCTATGTGTCACCTCTTTCTGCTGGTAGAAAAGGAAAAGATGGAAATATCTGGACCCGCTAAGAAAATAGGAAAGACAAATATGAACCTGGCGGGAAAATCTAGCTCCTAGTGAAATGTATTTAAGTCAGTCTGCTGTGATCCCCTGGGATACAAACAGACTAGTGCTAGCAGAAAGGGGAAGTGCTCTTCTTTCTGATCTATTAATTTTTTGCTTTAGGTACTGATCCTCTCTTATTAATTGCAATACCAATTCTAAAATTCAGTAATTCAAAAATTCCTGAATATGTTCAGGTTTGGTTAAATGTTTCCAGTGCCCCACCCCCAACTGAAATGTGATGTATTTTCACAAATGCAGTTTATTACCAACTGTTCTGGGTACAGCCTACCACAGAAAAGAATTAGCTTAGAGAAAGTGAAGTTGCATCACAATGAAGCTATCTCTTGATAAGTTCCATTCTAATGCAACAGTTACTTATCGGGGAAGGAATCAATTACAAATTGCCATTTCCAAGTTCTGGGGAAAGCAAAATATAAACCATTTGTACCTGCAATAACAACAACAACAACAGAAGCAGCAGCAGCAATAATAGAATATAAGAAGAGCTCTACTTGATCAGACCAAAGTCCTGCATGGCCCCATGTGTTGTTGCTGACAGTGATCACTGAAATACCACCAAGAGTCAAACACACAGACTCTCCAGTGTTGTTGCTTTCAGCAACCAGTATTTAGGAGCATTGTGTCTCTGAAGCTGGAGGTTGCCAACAGAACTACACTGGCACATTATTAAGGTAAAAGCCCTGAAAAATCGTTTCGGTCTTCAAAGCAAAGCCATTTTGCTGACTGAGGCAAGGTACAATGCAAACTTCCTTACATACACAGAAGCCATTCCACATACAGAAGTTAGCTGGAGTGGCAACTGAAACTTACTTCAGCACTGGTGGAAGAATATCACAAGGAAAGCAGATTAGCTCAGAGGATGCAAGGTCACTGTGTGGTACACATAGTTCACTCCTATACTTTACTTTGTAAATAAATGCACCCAGCACTTGGCATTTAAGGCAGGTATCTGTTTTAGTCAATGGCACAACTTATTTTATTATAAAAATACATTTAAATTGTTTGTTAGATGCCAAATAATAATAATAATAATAATAATAATAATAATAATAATAATAATAATTTATTTTTAACCCGCCCTTTCTCTCTGGAGGGACTCATACTACTTTGACACTACATCCGATTTTCTATTATCAAAAGGAAACTTATTCAATACCTCTTTGTAAGAAGACATGATCCTCTCAATAGCATCTGCTCCAGAAGCCAATAAATTCCGTGAAGTAGTGAATGTTTCCGTCCGTTCACTCACCATTGCTTGTTTCTGACCATCTTCTAATTCTAAAAAGAAAAAGGCACCGTCAATTTGAGCAAGGCATGTTTTGCGATTATTTAACTTCCTAACAGAAAACCCTCTCAAGAAGAAATGAGGCTAAAATAAACAAAATCTAGATTGCAAAATCCAAATCACTCAAAATCATTGCCAAATCCCACCTGAAAAGTCATCTCTGAGACTTGGCAATGAAATATTTAGCCACCACACTGAGGTAAATGAAGAAGTAGTTATCACCTACATTCTTATTGCAATGGGATTGTTTTTACAGGTAACAGAAGCAGTGCCAGGCCAGAGTTAGGAAAACTGAACATCAATGGTGATGAACTGTAAGGTTTTTTTAGACTGTAAGCCTGAGGGCAGGAAACAGTTTCATTGTTTTTACTTGTAAGACACCATTTATAGTTATTATGCTGTATAAATAAATAAATGGTAACAATAATGATAATAATATAATAAAAACAAGTAGCACTAATGATGCTTGTGTTCTCTCTAAGCCATAGGCACTTCTGTCTCACCAACAATACCACTGCCCCATGGACTATATCACCCAGAGTGATATATTTGCAGAGAATCACAAAATGGTGTAAGGAGGATACACTTTCAAAACAGTTTTTAAAAGACCACTCCTTTATCAGTAGAGAAGTGTTGTCACATTATACCAAGCATATAAGGCTCCAAGAATAATCCTGGCAAGATAATGCATGTCTGCCATCTGAGGATCGGTTTAGCTAATACAAAGAAGCACGACACCAGAAAGCTGGCCACCAAGTATGGTCACTATAATAACACATATGAAACACACAGGCAGAGTAGAGAATAGTTGTGGCTTGCATCAATAAATGGACTACCTGCACTTGTAAAAATATGATTTCTAAGATGGTTAGGGAAAATCTGGAGTATAATATTACTGAATATCTCAGCAATTTTTTCAGGTGTATTTTACATTGCTCTTACAGAACTGAAGGTAGTGTACATGAGAATCCCAGATGGTCAGAGCTTTGTTTTTTTTAACCCATGCATATTTTATTTATGTACTTTGTTTACCAATTGCACATTACACCAAACTCATTAGACCATCATATAAAACCAAAAAATACATATTAAGAACCCAAGTAACAAAATAAGGGTGGCATTAAAAAAACCAGATAGTATTATTTTTGGTCTAGATCAAAATTAAGGAGTCATATTTTTTTTAAAATAGATTTCCCATTGGTTATTTTTTCTGTCTAAATACCCCAAAGACAGCATAGGCATTTTATCTTAACTGCTCTGCAGTGTCAGCTTTGGTTAGTACTTGGATACCAATTTATACCAGGTGCTGTAAGCTGAACTTCAGAGGAACGAACTTGCAAAACCACTATCTATTGGGAGTGTTTTGGTTCTGGATTCCTGCATGGCAGGGGTTGGATTGCATGGCCACTGAGATTTCTTCCAACTCTATGATTCTGACTATTCTTTGCCTAAGAAAATCATATGGAATTCATGGGCTAGCCATAAGTCAACGGATGGCAGACACACACTTTCTTTCCCCCCGAATCAAATAAGAAGAAAATCTCAATTCCTTTATGTTACTGTTAGACACTTCAGACATCAAGTATTATACAAATCTCATGGATATTCGAATTACATATACAAGAGGGTTTTTTTCATGAGCAATTGAATAGAACAATTGAAAGGAGATGCAGCACTTTTATGCTAACACCAAAGCAAATTGAGGACTGGGTTAGTGGCTACAAGGTCTCCTGGAAGGGAAAGCCGAATGCAATGCATAGGTTACACATTTCTCACCCTGCAGCAACTCTCTGCCCGTGAAGGTTGCTTATTTTTCTGTCTGGAAATGCCTTACTTATAGGAAAAAAACCATGTGGCTATGTGGTTTGCCTTCAACCACTGCACACAACTGGGGGGAAAGCATTCCTGACTGTTCTCAGCACTCACATAAACAGGTAAACTGCACAGGCATAGATATACATACACCAGGAGGACTACTTGAGGCAGAGCGGTAAATTTTCAACACATATTCTAGTATCAAGGTGCATAGTACCCAATGCCAAAGAAGTTATTTTGGGACATGAGGTGGAAAATCCATATACATCTCTAACCTTCCCTGGCAGCAAAACCACAATAACAAAAACAATTAAATCATTAACCATTTGCTGCCCCCTCACAATGTTCAAAACTATTACCTGAACTGGCTGCCTCATCGTACCTAATGGTATCGCTGGCTTTGCAGTTGGCAGCCATTTCCTGTTCTCAGTGTGGCCATTTCCCCAAGTGCTGCAGTCACAGAAATGGCTGCCAACTGCAGAAAAGATATTGTATGATGTGCTAAAATAGTTAGATAAAACAAAAAAAGAATATAAACTGTCTTCTCACAGTACCTGCACTCAGCTTTGTAATTAAATGCTCTCAAAGTAGATCACTGCCGATTTTGTATGTGCTAAAAATAAGTAAATAGTAATTTTTAGTAATTTTTGTTGAAGCGTTGGGGAATATGTGTCCCTCCATATTTTGGACTCTAACTCCCATCAACACACATTACTAGCTATATTGACTAAAGATTATTACAAGTGCAGTCAAGCAACACCTAGGGAACTGTACATTTTTAAATAAGTAAATAGTAATTTTTAATAATTTATTACAATTCAGCATTTCCTTCTTCCTGATATAGCTGTAAGCACACTTTGGAAATACAGAACAACCCCATGATTACAGAAAGAAATTAACTTTAACCTTGGTTCAAAAAGCTTAATCACTAGAGCTTGCAATTGTTGCAAACTTAAGATTTAAGTAGCAAAATGTATGTTATTTTCAATCAATAATAATTGTTATTGTTTTGAATACATCTGTTTACTAAGTACTGAGAAAAAAAGTTAACATTAAATCAAAGTTACATTTTACCATTACATTTTTTTCTGATTTGTTTACAAAGGTTTTCCCCAAGGATCAGATATGTCCCTTCTGACTCTAAATTCATCTTGGTTTCTTTTTTATTATAAATAATTAGTGCATTAGACATTTGTTATTTAAAATGTATTCTAAAAACCCTTAAATGTTAAAATTTAATATATCCAAATACAAAATTATTCAACAGTTCTTTTATATAATGAATAATCAAGAAGCGATTTGTCTCAATCCTGAACTAAGTATAGTGAAATCAAGGAGCTTAAGCATGATTGACTCTGTTAAGCTATTTATTAAATCCATTATCCAACAGCCACATATCCATGTGCGTAATCATCTGTTTCAGTTACAAAGGGGAACAACAAACTGAACATAAGGAATGGGGCATAGGGCCTGCATCTAAGTGCTAGTCTCAACTAGATTAAAATTCAGTGGATCAATTGCTGCTAGTAACTACCATCAAATCAACTTTGACTTATGATAACCCTATGGATGAAAGACTTCAAGTCATCCAGTCATCAACAGGATCTTGCAGACTCAGGTCTTGAGATTTAGGACTGTGGCTTCCTTGATAGAGTATATCCATCTACAATGCAGTCTTCCCTTTTCCCCGTTATTTCTACCTTACCAAGCATTATTGTCTTTTCTAGCAGATCATGCCTTCACGCGACAAAGCCAAAATCTCAACTAAGTCATCTGGGCTTTTAGGGAGAGTTTGAACTTAATTTTCTCTAAGACACATTTATTGTTAGTTTTTTTTAGCAGTCCAAGGATATCCATGGAACTTTTTCCTAGCACCTCATCCAAATGAGTTAATTTTCTTCCTATCAGTTTTCTTCACTATCCATCTTTTACAATCATACATACAAACTGGAAATATAATGCTAAATCCCAGTCATTTTACCCCGTTAGGATTTCTGGGAATTCAAGGCCAAACTTCTGGGGACCCACAGGTTGAAAACCACTCTGATAAAGCTTTACATGTCGAGTTCTTGTTTAGTTCCTTTATTTGCCCCATCTACACTGCCATATAAATCAGTTTCTGAATCCAGGTTATCTGCTTTGAACTGGATTATATGGAAGTGTAGATTCATATAATTCAGTTCAAAACAGATGGATTCAGAAATGGATTATATGGCAGCGTAGATTCTGCCACAGCCGCCCTTCCAAGTCCTAGCCATTGTCCAATTAATGACTGATCCAAAGTATGGAAATCTTAAACCATTTCAGTATCTTCACTGCTTACTTTAAAGTTATGACAATTATCTGTAGACATTATTTTGTTTTCTTAAGGTTCCACTGTAATCCTGCCTTTGCACTTTCCTCTTTGACTTTCTTCAGCTATCATTAGGAACTTGTTAAGTCCTTAAGTAACTTCAATCACTTTAATAGGTCTGCTTCATTGGGGATTTAAGACCATTAGTTTTAACAAATAAAAGCAATCTAAAGAAGTAACAGGTGCTATGTAGAAAGACAACTCTTATAATGCTAATGTTTTTCGAACGTCTTAACTTCTTGGGGCAGAAGAAACATAACTGCTTCCTCTCCTTTCCCCACCCTTTTTCTGCTTTCAAAGCTCTTGAAGTATGCTGTGTTCATACTACACACAATGTTACTGCAGCTAAAATTATGTAGACACACCTCTCTTGCCCCCACCTCCTGTTAGGTTAAACAATACATTTCAAATGAAATCAAAATGTTTTTTACCGCCATCTGCAAATCCTGTTGCAGTGATGATTGGTACGGCTACCATGATCAAACCGCTGCTGCTCCATACATACTTCATCAGGAACTGTTCTAGCATGATGTACCACAAACGTTTGGACAAAATGAGGTTCATTTGGTCTGCCAGAGCTTTGTAGCTTTTCTGGAGTTGATTCATTTCTACCTATAGTTAACAAACACAAAAACTGACACAATGTGATACATCTAGATATGTAGGCATTTTAAACAGACATGCCTATACAGTGGGATGTGTGGGATTATATATATGTAAACATTATGTTATATAATACATGTGGAACATCGTTTTTGATTTGTCAGTTACTGAAAAGAAATGCCATTAGATCCAAGAATACTGAAAATTTGTGTGGATTTCTGCATTTATAGACACACCATGGTTTCTGTTTATAAAATAAACATCTAACATTTCAACTGCCATCTTATTTATAAGAAGCATTTGTCTCAGAACAGCTGAAGAAGGCAGAATGCTAAATAATATTTTAATTATTTTTTGTTAGTCACTCATATCACATATGCTGGTTTATGGAGACATAATGGTGTCTGAAAGCATGTATGCGTATAGCTCTAGATTGCTATAGCTAGGGTTTTGTGTGTTGTGTCAGGAGCAACTTGAGAAACTGCAAGTCGCTTCTGGTATGAGAGAATTGGCTGTCTGTAAGGACATTGCCCAGGGGACACCCGGATGTTTTACCATCCTGTGGGAAGCTTCTCTCATGTCCCTGCATGAGCTGGAGCTGACAGATGGGAGCTCACCCCACTCACCAGATTCGACCTGCCAACCTCTTGGTCAGCAATCCTGCCAGCACAAGAGTTTAACCTACTGCACCACTGGGGGCTCTGTTATATGAGATAAAGGAGCACATAAAAACCCATACATTTTTCTGCATGTATCAGAAACTTGTATAAAGGCAAGGTTTGGGATCAGTGTGGTAAAACAGATTGATGTCATGTGAATCTGAGACATGTCATCTAACCATTTCTCTCACATGACTTCACAACAAACCAAAGTATGCTGTTGCGTATGTGCTGAACAGGAATCTGCAAAAGGCTGCAGCTCCATGCCCAGTAAATTTGATGTCCAATAAGTGTCCTTTCACATTCACATCTCAAGGGTGTGAGATGGTGGATGGTCTTGGAAAGATTACATTCTCTCAACTTCAGTTTCTGAATGGGAAAAGGACAAGATGAATGTTATACATTTAAAAAGATTTTATTAAGATTTATGAGTTATGAACAGTTAAATATTTAAAGGGCTGACTTTTTAAAAATTGTATTATCACCACATCATTCTGCTACGGTAGATAGAGCCAGCATACATAAGGTTATCCTCATTATTGTCATGAACTAGATTAGGTCAAGAGGTAAACACCAGATCTGGGTCATTCAGTAGGCTCCATGGCTTCTCCAGTCTAAATCTGTCTCTCTCTGCTTTCCCAACTCAGTGACCTTCAGATGTTTTGAAATACTACTTATCAGCATTCTAGATTATATGGTACACTGACTGATGCTAATGGAAACTCGAGTATAAAACATTTGGAGGGCAACCATTGGGGGTGGGTACTCCATCTACGACCCACCTATAGCTGTACTCAGAAATTTAAAGGCCAATTCATTACAAAACATAACAACACACAAGTATTCTTGTGCTTCCCTATAATACCTGTTCTCACTGTGTTGAGGGGAAAAGCATTGAGTTTCTTCAACTTGTAGAGGTTCTTTACATTATGTAAACCCTGATCATCATCATCATCATCATCATCATCATCATCATCATCATCATCATCAGTTTACCATGTTTTCCCCAAATTGGAACTAAAGGTGACTCAATTTAAAAATAGCAATACAGATGATAATAATATACAAAAAAGTGACAATTAAAATAGAATTAAACTAGGTATAATATTAGAACACTTTAAATCTCCAATTTAAAAATATGAGCCCCCGGTGGCGCAGTGGGTTAAAGCGCTGAGTTGCTGATCTTGCTGAAAAAAGGTCGCAGGTTTGAATCAGGGGAGCAACGTGAGCTCTCGTTGTTCTGCCAACCTAGCAGTTCGAAAACATGTAAATGTGAGTATATCAATAGATACCGCTCCGGCAGGAAGGTAACAGCGCTCCATGCAGTCATGCTGGCCACATGACCTTGGAGGTGTCTAGGGACAATGCTGGATCTTTGGCTTAGAAGTGGAGATGAGCACCAACCCCCAGAGTTGGACACAACTGAACTTAATGCCAGGGGAAAACCTTTACCGTTTCCTAATTTGAAAAAAAATTAAAACTCCTAAAAAACCACTTCATTTTAAAACAATACACACATCTACCTTTTTCTTTAAAATTTTTCTGTATTAAAAACCTGTCTTAACAAAAAGGGCTTTGCCTGCCAATGGAAAGGCAGCAGGAAGGTGGCTATTCTGGCCTCCCTGTGGAGCTCCAGAATCCGGGGGCAACCATTGAGAAAGTTCTCACTCACAGCCTCACTAACTGTACTTGTGAGGAAGACCACCCTTTACAAAGTGTGGAGAGTCTCTATGGATTTAAGAGGTGCTCCACTTTAGACTTTTCCCCTTAATACAACGAAGGAAACAAAAATGTGTATGGATAAAAAGACGTAGCATGATGTCTTCCTTCTGTACATGTAGTTACAAAGTATTTTAATATCACAGCAGAGCTTAAGAGAAGTCAAGAGAGTTCCATCGTTCAGTTCCATCCTTTCATACTTTTGTTGAATAGTTGCTGCTCTATCCATTTAATAATTTCTAGTGATATTTAAATGAAATACGACAAAAGCCTTCCTGTGCAGCAGTTGCTAGATTTGTGTTAGTTCCCCAAACCTTCTGTTTCTGGAATAATGAGATGCTACTTCATCTGAGCAGAACCAGCGTTCAAAGCAAGAACAAAATAAGCCATAATCCTGTAAATATCTAGAACTCTATATTGCTTGGCTTAGAGGATCTTTGCCAATATATACCAGATGAACATCTGGTCAGATAACCCAATCACTTAGCAAATGGATGATGATGATGATAATAATACACTTATTGTGAGAACAGATGTTCCTGCATTAGAATTACGACCTGTAAATGAGTTATGATTTTAGCAAATGCCCACATCCTCATCATTGAAATCTAAACCATCTTACTTTAACTCCATCACTTTGGAGTTCCTTTTAGTCTCAAAGCTGTAAACTCTCACTCTATGTAGAGTCTTAAGTCACTTCCTAGGGCACATAGTCCCACTTATGTCGGAAGGAGTGATGCTTCATGAGATTCTGATTTTGTGATGTAACCAAATCCATGGCAGATGTTAAAAATGCAAGTAAGCTACGACTATCTTCAATGGAGTTAAGCCTTTTGAAAATTCTGCTTCTGATGAGGGCCATATTTCTTTAGAATCATAAAATCATAGAATGATAGAGTTGAAAGAGACCTCATGAGCCATCCAGTCCAACCCTGTGCCAAGAAGCAGGAAAATTGCAATCATTATTTCTCTACCGTTTGAATTAAAAGAAACAAAGGGGAGGAAAGCTCTAATCATTCACAGATAAAAAAAGGTGAAGACACACATTCAATATGTTTGATACTGATTTTGCAAAAGGCTTGTTTATTTTATGTAACTGTAGCTGTTAAAGCCCATCTCTGCTTGGGTCTGTGCTATTTAAAGACTCTGCAGGGCTGCACTGCTGCTTAGCTATGCAGAATAGTATTGAAGGTTGTTCAGTACTGCTGTCTCTGCCAGAGAAAAGTTTTCTTCAAGCTGCCATGTGCAAGTACTACATTATCTGTGTATTGATCAGGGTAACGGAAGAGGGAGAAACTGTTTCTTTAACCCAATACATTAAGAAGAATATAAATAGTTTGTAAGAAACATCTAACATTTAATATAATCATTTTACATTGCAAACCTCTGTGTTCTTTAATCAAAAACCAGTTCCCTTGAGTTGAATAGGATACTCTCTGGTTGGTGCATTTAGGACTACTGCAATCTTCTATAGACCCCAAATTACAAACAAGATAGGTTCTATAGGTATGTTCTTAAGTTGAATTTGTATGTAAGTCAGAATAGGTACATTTTAAGTGTAACTCCACACACACACAAGCTTTTGATACCATAGGGAAGAGTCAACAGCCATATAATGTTTGTTTTGCTGTCTGGGCCCTGTTCAGATTTTACCTCACTGTCTGTCCCTGTAACACTTGGAAAAAATTGGCTTGTTGTGGAAAGAAGGATTGGTGATAACACTTCAGTTGAGACACCATTTCCCCATGATAACTCTTTCAGGAGTGATTTCCCTTCAGCAGTAGATTTCTTTTCCTTCCTGTTGTCTCAGCCCTGTTCTTAACTATGAGTCGCTTGTAAGTCGGATATTTGTAACTCAAGGACTGCCTGCCTGTACTTCCTTGCAATGGCGTAAAGTAAACTATACTGAAAACATTGGAACTTATTTCCAAGTAAGCAAGCTCACATAACACTGCATTATTAGTAAACCATCTTAACAAAAATAAGCTTCACTTACATTAGAAAAAAATAACTCGTTGTTGAGAAAAGCAACTTAATGAGAGGTTAGGCTGCAACCCTATATTCGACTCACACAGAAGTATAGTTTTTTGTTTGCCTTCAAGTCACTTCTGCTTTATTGCAACTCTAATGGTACCTCATCATACAGTTAACTATTATTGACTAATTTGTTCTCAGGAGGTTTGCAATTGCTTTCCTCTGTAGCTCAGATTGTGACTAGCCCAAGGTCACCCAGTGAGTTTCAATGACTGACAGAAATTTGAACCCTGGTCTCCCACAGCCCTAATCTAGTACTTAAACTAGTACTAAATCACACTCCCTCTTTAAACTGAGGTGAGTTATATTGAATTCAACTATTTCTCTCAACAGACACAAACACAGCTTTGCATTATGCATTATTTAAATAGCCAAAGAAATGTTGACAAACAAACCATCCAAAACAGCTACACCGCAGGGTTTTGTTTTTTTAAGAAATAAGATATAATATATATTTGTGAGGATATTTGATGTGAATGATGGGTAGGACCTACATGGAAACAGGCAATACAAGATCTTGTCCTTTTATCTTGTTGGCTTAATACAGCATATCATAGCTGCAGAGAAATTGGGAGTACTTTCTTGTGAGTAAAATTC